GTCCTGCAGTTGGTTTGGGACCTCCAGCCCCTCCCTGTGCTGATAGCTTTTACCTTCCCACTGGGCACCTGCAAGCGCCACTTCTCTGACCACCTTGCAGCACTCCATGCCCTGTCTGTCTGTCTGACTGTCCCATTCCCTTCCCATGGCACTGCCATGCTGAGAACAAGGCCCACCTCTGCACAGGTTGAGCTGGGACATCACTGCTGCAGCTGCTGCTTCCCTCAGGATGCCTCACATGTGTAGGAGCTATTTTAAGCTTCTTCCCCTAGCTCAGCCAGAAGAAGGCTTTCAAGGCAGAAAGCAGCAGCACAGCTGGACCCCATGGCAGGATTTGGTCAGGGCAGAGCAATGGTGTGACCAACACCCCTGTCTGCATGGCCACCTCCCAGCTGGGGGCTAAACACTGGCTGTGACAACAGGTTCATGTCACATTTCTGTTATCCAAAACACCATTTTATTTCCACAATCTTTTGCCCAACACATTTTATTGCCAATAGCAACAAAGCAGTATCTGTTCCCATAAAATACAGGTACTGCTAAGCTGAAAAAAACCTCCCTATCCCTCAGATCTCAGGGTAATTAGTATGTAGACATGGAAATTCTTAATAACACGTTAACTATTGTTGGAAAGCTAATTTGTGGGAGTTCTCAAGCTCACTGGTTGGCATTGTTGAAAAGACAAAAAAGTTTAAAGCCTTTCTTTGCACACCATCCAATTTTTTATGCACTACATCAGCTAGAAGTAGAGCCAAATTGAAAAATTTCTGCCATTTTATGCACCATGGAAACAAGAAACCTGTCAATCTGCAATTACCTATTCTACATCCATTTGAGATCAATTTCTGCTGTGGGAGTATAGCCAACAGGTTCAGACCTACAATGGGAGATTGACATAGTTTATTTTTTGTTTCATTCTCAAATAAGTATAAATATTAAAACATAAATCAGATTAATGTCAGGGTGCATTTTAAACTGCATTACAGTCTAATAAAGACTATAAACTTTTCTTCTCATGTAATTTCTCACAGCAATGTCAACAAGAGGATATAAAAATATTCAAAGTGTTCATCTATAAATCCCACTGTGATAAAATTGCACACTGATTTCCTAAGCAATCTCATATATTCAGATTTTCTTCTAGAGCTGAAATACTTCTTGGTTGAACCCTATGAAAGCTACTTATTTTTAACAGCTCATACTAATTTAGTATTTTTTCCCCATAAATTAAACACTGCCACTTTTTAAACTAGAGATAATTTGTCTGATGGACTACTTTAGCCTGAAGGTTTATTGTGTTTAATTCAGAGTTTTTGTACCTTTCAAATGCTGGTGCTCATTTGTGAAACTCTCAAAAGTACATTTTAAAATCCTCAGTATAAGAAGTTCTTAAAAGAACTCAGATGCTTCAATATCACGCGCATCATCCCTTTCAGTGGGATTCCCCAAAGTCGTGCACAGCTTAAGTGCTTTTCTGTGTCAGGTTTGAAACTTTCATGTTAATTAAGAGTGCTCCAAGCAGAATTAATGGTTATGACTGCCTACCGTGCTCACAGCAGCTACAAGGCTCTCTCAGCTTTGACTCAAACCATTAAAACAGAATGAGCAGTGATAGCACATTTTCAGTATCTCTAGCAATACAAAAGGCAGGCAAACCCAGATGAGGTGATGTGGACAGGAAGGTTTAGATCCTTCTTCCAGGCACAAGAAGATTCATCAGGGCAGGTGGTACAGGCATAACTCTGCTTCTTTGAAAGAGGGTAGTAGTTGAAGGCATAACTAGCTCTCCCCAAATGTAACCTCCAGAATCTCTGATTTCACCAGCATGCCAGGCAGCAAACTGGGGCAAGCAAAGAGCAGACATGTTTGTACGACTGAACACACTGTTAGTGTATTCACATCCTAAAATAGGAGTGAAAACTCTTTCCCAAGAGCCACATGACGGCGTGTCTTCATCTGTGGTGCGCAGAGGTTTTGTGATTACAAATTGCAACCCAGAACAACTACTAACCATTTACCAGAGAAAACCATCGTTGCTGAACAGTTACTCTCCGTAGGTCTTCACAGCAGAATCAAGCAGCTTTCTGGAGACACCTGTTATCCACAACCAGGTATTTGGTTCCACACAGGTGTACATGGGTGAAGCAGTAGCTCAGACTATTCAATATACGTCCCTTTGGATTAAAATTCATGACTTATTAATGGCATTTTAAATATGCACTATCTGGCACAAAGAATATGGTCTTTGAAAAACTCTAATGCTGATAAATTACATAACATTTCCATAATGATACAGGAGAACTGAAGCACTTTCTCTTTATGTATTTTCATGTGATTTCTTAAATCCCAGATGGAGAATAATTTGTCTTCAGTCTAGTTGTACTTGAGGCACTACCAGTCTGACATTTTACTTTCAGGTTCTAGCAACATCAGTATTGAGATCAGAGGTATTAAAACTTAGAAAATCTGGCATGTTATGTCAAATTACAAAGACAGTATCTGAGAGCAAATGGAAGAACAGACAGACTGAATTAAGTAGCAGAAAAGGGGAATGTAACAGAATGATAGGACAGAAGATAGGGACAAATGCACAAAAGTGAAAGATTAAACAAATATTCTAGCGTAATCAGATGGGTGTGAAGAAAAAACATTCAACATAGTTGAAAGCACAAATGTAGGGATATAAATTCAGACATAAAACATGCAGCTACACACTGCATGTGTATGGGCATTGTCCCCTAACACTTATGCACATACAAGATTTTATTTGCAACATTTGCATAAGCTAGAGGGTAATACTCATGTAAGTAATATGTACAAGAGGTAGCAGGATTTGGCCTCTCACTGTTTTTTCTTGTGTTCATCATGTATATCTGTAAAACATTTAAGCAGGCATTTCAACTTCGAAGAAGACTGAACTTGGAAATAATGGGACCTAAGGGAAACCTTTCCAGGAAAGCTGGTGGAATTGCAGTTCTGCAAAGCACCGAGAGGAATACCCTAAGGACTAATTATTTGACAATACAACTAATGGTATTACTTTGAAGCATAATAAAGTTAAACCTGCAGCTTGTGTAGATGTGCAGTACTTGCTGGAGGAAAGCACAATCGATGTGTGAATCCAGAATGGGAGAATCCTAATTAACCCTCTAACTGCTAGCAGCAGGAAGGCTAATAGCAACTCTGAAGTGGTGCAAGTGACTTAATCCTAAGGGATTGCTTCTGTTAATGAGACACTGACTATTAGCTGTCCTCTGCCGTGTTTGCAGCAATGAGGCACCTTCAGAAGGCAATAAACAACTGGTTTGACTAATAGCAGGCTGGGACTCCCCTGAGTGACAGAAGTTACTGTCCGAGTGACAGGAGTTATTGTCCTCATCCTACAGATAAGAAACTAAAGTCCGGTATGCCACTTCCCATGATCCACTGGTCAGTCCAGGGACAGAGTTTATGGGTCAAGGCCATTTAGGATGACACTACAATTCTCCTCTAGAAGACTACATCTGATGCTCTTCTGGGAATACTGTTTTACAGGATGTTAAAAAACATGAAGCATAAAAAAAACCCCAACAGAGTCTGTCTTTAGTAATACAATAATTAAACTTCTTACAAAGCATTCTCATTTTGAAACTACAAAAAAAAGGCTTTCAAAGTCTTTAATCGAACAAACACCCATGACCTTCCTTCTCCAAGAGTTTCTGGCCATGGCTTGACAAAACAGCACAAAATCTCAATATTATTCATATGGGTACCCAAAATATATGGAGCCAGGCTTCACAATACTACTTCCCTTATCTCAGATGGCTCAGTAGTCTTCTAGGCTATTATCCTATCATTTCTATCCACCTCTGCTAGTACTGTGCCTCAGCTTCATTTGCACTACTAGAAAGATGCAAAAGATAGGCTTCTACAAGACTAAACAAAAATTAAAACCAATATAAAAAAATAAAACACTTTAAGAGCAGTCCTCAAGGAAGCTACATGTTTTACTGTTTAATTTCTTCAAGATATCTATGTTGCAAAGTGCAGCTAGAAACACTTCTACAAAAATCAAATTAGTCATTTAGCACCATCCACAGCAACCACTTAGACAAGACTTTTCTGCAGCATACATTGTTTCATAAAAAATATTAAATAATTATTTCAATTGATTTTATGTTTCAATTACAATGTTCAGACTTTGCAAACTATTGCAACATACACAAGTTTAGTTACAGAAAGGATGGATTTCAGAAGTCATAATATTGTGGGCTTTACAGAAAATATGTGTTCCTTGAAATGATACTTGAATATCCTGGAAGAAGAAATTACCTCTAGCCTATAAAATAGAATATCTGGCAACACTCCATAAAGTAGAACACAGTGGCCTCTAAAAATAAGCCATGGTGCTATCAGCAGCACAGATTACTTTTTTTCTGACAGAGACAGCCCGATGCATCCAGAAATTACTCCGAGGGGCCACAATCAGCCAGCAGCCGGTTCAGCCACCCCAGCTGCCCTGCCACGCCATGACAAGGGGGTTGGCCTTGTCACCATCCAGCCTGGGCACAGCCTGTGCGGCAGCAGCTCTGCCATAAGGCTGCCAGCAGCACCAGCAGGCAGCTGGGGTGGCATCCCGTGAATGGGACGGCAAGTCAGGGGGTGCATTTCTGTTTGTGTAAATATGCACGTGTGTGTGCTTTCATACACATGTACCTTCACACACACATCCATGCACAATGTGCACCAACAGATAGATACACATACATATCTAAAATCACAGAATGAGCTGGGCAGGAAGGGACGACAAGGATCATTGAGTCCAACTGCTGGCCCTGCACAGTATCACACCAGAGCACTGTCCAAGCACTTCCTGAGCTCTGTCAGGCTGCTGCTGTGACCACTGCCCTGGGCAGCTGTTCCAGTGCCCAGGCACTATCCGGGTGAAGCACCTTCTGATACACAACCTAAACCTGGCCCCGGGCGGGGAGCCCCGGCCCCGGCCCCGGCCCCGGCCTTACCCTCCGCCATGGCCGCAGCGCCGCGCTGTCGCCATGGCGACGCGGGCCTGCTCGGGCCCTGTCCTCACACCGCCGGGTGTCGGGCGTCGCTGCCCGCCGGGCTGAGGAGGTGACAGCGTGTCCGAGCCCCTTGCACGGCCCCCGCTGCAGCCCACCGCCCTTCCAGGCAGCGATCGAGTGAACCCCTTCGACCTGCCGCTGCAAAGGACTCAAATTTTCTTTAAGATACATCTTTCCCCAGTAGTTGTGGAGATTTCCATCTGTCTGAGCTTTAGAAAGTGAAAGAACATTTTATTCTAAATGCCATCACGCCAAAACAGCTAAAATATTCTGTCTTAGTGATATTAAATAAAACTGTGTGGTTTAAATTTAGCTGTGAGTTTTAGCAGACAGGCTTGCAATGCCTGGTTCTTCTGACTCTAAAACAACTGTGAAAAGTATAAAAAAAATACAAATAATAATATACTGGCAAGATGCAACCTTCCAGTGCCCAGGCACTATCCGGGTGAAGCACCTTCTGATACACAACCTAAACCTGCTCTGACACAACCTCAGGCCATTCCCTCGGGTCCTGTCTCTGCGCCCCAGAGGAAACCAGTGTGTGTCCCCCGGTGCGTGTCCCTGCGCTCCCCCGGGCCCAGCCCCGGCCAAGGCTCCCCGCGCCGCCGCCGCCCCTCGCTCCGCCCGAGGCCTGAGGCGGGCGGGCCTCACTCGGTGGCGCCCGGCCCCCGGCCCGTACAAATAATAATATACTGGCAAGATGCATAGAAATATTCCTAGAAAATAAATATTAATTAAATTGCTAGAGCTAAAACCTTGTCCTACTACAGGAGGTGCTTGTTTATCAGATGTTCAGTTTTGCAAAGCCCGCGTGGATGACTCTTCCTCACACACTCAATTCCACCGCTTGAACAAACAGTTAATGATGTTCTTCTCAGTATTCATGGAAATCTAAAATTTAAAAAATAACACATGGAGCACAAACAAGGCTTCTTTGATTTAAAAAAATAAAAAAAATTAAAAATACTTTTTTATAACATTTTAACATTTGCTATTTGCCTTTTAGCCACTTATTTTTGCTTTTTTTATTGAACATGGCTCAGAGTAAAGAGGGTATAATAGATACCCAAGAGAATACATTTTTATTCTGTTGGGAAAACAGCTGATTATGCTCTCTAACAAAGCTGATCCCTCTGAAAGGTTATCTACTGACTTGGAACAGTTTATTAAAGTAACTAAATATTTCAAACTACATGTCTGACTGCAAGAGTACAGATTTGTTTTCTCTCAAATTCCTAACAGAAATTTTGGTGAGAATAGCATGGTCGATGAATTTAGAGGATGCAGCAGCAGAAGGAAAAACCCTTTATCTTTCAGCCGTACAGGGGTCCTATTTCTTATTCCCTTAACACCTCCACAGAGATAACTTGTCTTTCCTGATTGTAGGTCTATGGTGGTGGGTCAGGCACAGGTTTGAAGATGGAGAAAAGTGCAAAATACATTGTTTTGGCAAGGATGGACCTCTCTTATCTCTTCCCTCCCCTAAACAAATGTAGAATTTCATGTTCTTGAATACTGTGCCATTATTTTCCAGGTCATTCATCACAGGACACTTACAGCTCTTCTACAAATGCTACACTAATTCAAAGTATTTACTAGATATCCCTCAAAAACCTTAATAAAATCCTGTTCTAGTCATTTGGGTTTTCATGACAAATCCATGCCCAAAATATAAACAACTCTCAGTTTTAAAATAAATACAAGTATTGCATATTGTGCTTATTTATTGAGATTAGTGCGTGTTCATAGTAGATTTTGAATGGATGTGAGTCACTGCAACTGTGGCATGGTATGACAGTAACTCCACTTGGGCATCCACCTCTAACATCTTCCCAGCAATTTCTCCAGGGCTTGCACTTGGCTTTCCTCAAAACCCCTTCCTCACTGACGGGCACTAATCTTTGTTTCCTCCAAGAGGGGTGGTAAGAAAAGCAGTGTGTAAATGCTGATGAAGAAAGGGGACATCGTGAAGTGTACCACAGCTATGACATGTCATTTACACCACCACATCTACTGCCTCTGGCCCTCGTGAGCTGCTAAAATAGCTCCTTGGGGAAGGTGTTGTTGTGAGTGTATAAAGGCCTTGCTCAAATCCTGGATGTTCATATCGAACTTGTTAAGTTTGATAACTTTAGCCTAGCTACAGAATCTTCACTGACTCAGAGCTCATACAAATTTCAGCACACAGCATTTTGCACTGTCCTGCCTGTGCTGTTGCGCTTCCACTCAGGACAATTACTGTAAATCAAAGTGCTTCATTTGCATTGTCCGCTCTAGCTTGGAGTTTGCTTTTGCTTCCAGTAGTTTGCAGCCAAGCGTCCTTATTCTCCCAATTCCTAACACATCAGCCTTCAATGTCTTGCCTGTCTCCAGGAGCAGAACAAAATACTGAATGAGAAAGTACTTCAAAATGAGAACTCTGCTTTAAAATTTCCTGGCAAAGTATCTTGAAAAATCTGTGTAGGGAAAAAAATGCTAACAGTTATAAGGCAGATCAAATACCTGATATATGGACCTGAACCATATAGCTGTTTCCCTTTTAACTTAATGCACAGATACCTCAAACCAAGGATATGAGTGGGCTGAAACAACTAATCACATTTTGGCACAGACAAGTACAAAAGGAAACCCAGAACTACTAATTCAACAGCTTGAAATATCAGCTGCTGCATGCAAGATCTTTACAGAGCTCCTCTGAAGAGAACATACCCTTTTAAAATTGTGATTTTTCATCTTAAAAATGTCAGAAGATATCTCAGGAAAATTATAAAAGAATCCAGCATCATTGATATAAAGCGTGAATCCACTGAAGTCTCATAGACATAAGGTTCCCTTACCTCCACTCCTAATTTCATCACATACATTCCTCTCAGCTATCAGGGTCCTATCACACATTTTGCATATTTTCCATGCACATATTCAGAAATGTTATTCAGCAATAAAAAACAGGTCTAAACTGGGAGAAGTGATGTAAAAGAGAGAAGTTCAAGGAACTATATAATAACAAAAAGCTACAAAGCTGTGTCGCCCCATGGCTTCAGGGCTGCAAGCATCTCAACACATCTTTACTCCAAAAACATTTGCCAAAGACCTTCACTGTAGAACTCCCTCTGTGGGTCCTTGGGGACGATATAACTGAAGGCACAAAGAAGCCTATTCATTTGTCCTTCACAGAGAAAGTAGGTGGATAACTGTGATTTTGTGTCAGGACTCTTACCTGTAGCTCCTCTGCAATGAAAGGGGTACAGCTGTGCTGTTCAGCAGGCATTTCTATGTCACTGTACCCTTTTCCACCAATGTGACATGAATGACCCAAGTGTACCTTCATTCCACTCTTCCTCTGGGATCAGCAGCTGATTTTAGTGACTCAGAAACAGATTCTTCAAAACAGGGTATTATCTAAACATTAGCTGTTCACCAAATGTTACACAGTAACCAGATAAAAATGAGAAAAAGACTGTCATTCCTTGCCTATAATGTATCTTTCCCTACAGAATTTAGGTAAATTACACTTGAGAGCAGCTACCTCGTTCCTTCATGTGTAGGAGGGGAAGACAGCTTCTCCTCTGGCTTGTTCTCTTTGTAACTGCAGGCTTTGATCCTATGCTCAGAGTAGATGAAGAGAAGCCTAACAGAGTGGGCAGAAAAAAACATACAGGCATGCCCTCCGTTATTTCCTCTACCACTGACCTCTTCCAGGCTACTGGTATATTTGTATTAACCTTATCTGACATAATTTTTCTTTCTTTCAAAAAAAAATTCTTCCTGTTCTCACCTACAGAACAGCAAAAAGTACATAAATTATACATAAAAGTGCATAAAATGGCATAATTTGCTTTACTTTTTATATAAATAATAAACCTAGAAGCCCAAAATCTGACCTCTTAAATAAAATGTCAGCATATGATTCCTTGACACATATGGAGTTCACCAGTGCTGAAAGGGGAAGATCCAAGCCTTGTCCTTCCTTCCCTCCTGCTGGCTGCATATCTTCCTTCTACCTTGTGCTGGCTCTGCCATTCACTGAGAGCAAATATGAGTCACAGAGGTAGTAAAAATACAATCCATCAAAAAGTGAGTAGTGTTCTGCCCTATTAAGAAAACCAGAAAAGGATCTGACAAGCATCTCAATCAGCACATCCAGTAAATTGGACCTTGCAATTAGAAGAGGAAGAAATAGAGGGGAAGGCAGGAAGGGTGAGATGTTCTTTTGGAGGGAAAAAGCTCAGTGGCTGTCTGAGTCCATAAGTAAAACACTGAAGGCAGAAAGGGGGACTATCAAGTTTGAAGGCTGCTGATAATAGCAGCATCTCAAACCCCTTTCAGTCCATGGGATGGCTTTGGAACTGTCCTGGCAAATATCTCTTACTGCTCATGTACAGCTACTGTCCTATAGATCTTTAGCTCTTCCTGTTCAGCTTCAACAAAGCTGCATTTGAGGAAAAGTGACTGAACATACATTAAAAATTAGTTGCTAGGAAAAAAGAAGCATTTCTTTACTGCAGTAATATTCTTCAATGTCAAGGAGCTGCTGGCAGTGCTCGGCCTCTGGGACTATGCCTAAAGAGCTACAGCAGAAAAAAGCTCTTTCTTTTATGTGTAAGTGCCAGGATACTGTTCCCCATCCCACCCAGGCACAGAAATGGCCCTAGAGATCCATATATTTTAACCTTCAGACTTTATTACCATTAATTATATCTGGAAGTGAAGCCAGGATCCCCCAGAACACGGTAGCAGGAACAAAACACAATCATCCATCTGCCTAGCAACATGGGTTGCCATGAGTACTTCTCCCCGTGCTCCACAGGCAGCAGGGGCTCGCCACTGAAAGCCAAGCCAAGCTCAAGAGCCCCTTGGAAAAGGGCAAAGAGAGCCTGCTTCCTCAGATGAACACATTCCATCTCCAAGACCTTCCTCTGGAACCTAGAATATGTCAGCCAGCAGCCTGAAATTTGGAAATGAGGGACTTCTGGAGTACTGAGACAATGCCACTGGAATTGCTCTTGCAAGAAGCAAAAGCAATGACGTTGGGAACATCAATGCTGTTAAAACTCCATTCTTCACTTCTCTGTTCTTCTGAGAAAGTTCTTTCCATGTTTTAATACCATGCCAAAAAAAATCCCAATAACATACTGTCAAATCATTGACTTTTCACACTTACAAAGAAAAG